GTGTCGACATGTAGATCAATAGAATAGAATTGTTAACCCAGAAATAAGCCTTTATATTTATGTTCAATTGATTTTTAGCAAGGGAGCCAAGACAATAAAATAGGGAAAGAATAGTCTTTTAACAAATTCAACTGGATATCCACATTATACAAACCCCTTCCACACACCATACACAATAATTAATTCAAAGTGGATCAAACACCTGAATGTAAGAGGTAAAACTGTAAAACTCTTAGAAGAGGCCGGGTGTGATGGCTTACACCTGCAATCCCAGCATTTGGGAAGCTGAGGTGGGTGATCATCTGAGGTCAGAAGTTCAAGACCAGCCTGAGCAACATGGAGAAACCCCATCTCTACTAAAGATACAAAAACAAATTAATTAGCTGGGCATGGTGGTGGGCACCTCTACTCCCAGCTACTCAGGAGGCTGTGGCAGGAGAATTGCCTGAACCCGGGAGGCAGAGGTTGCACTGAGCCAAGGTCACACCATTGAACTCCAGCCTGGGCAACAAGAGTGAAACTCCATATCAAAAAAAAAAAAAAAAAAAAAAAAAAGAAAAGAAAATCTCTTGGCTTTGGGCTAGGCAATGTTTTTTTTTTTTTTTTTTTTTTTTATAAATATAATACCACAGCACAGCTATTAAAAGAAAAAGGATAAATTGGACTTCATCAAAATTTAAAATTTTATGCTACAAATGATAACATCAAGAAACTGAACACACAGCTCTCAAAATGGGAGAAAATATTTGCAAATCATTTGCAAATCATAAGGGTATAATATCCATCCAGAATTTATAAAGGCCGTGGTGATGGCTCACATCGGCAATCCCAGCACTTTGGGAGGTCAAGATGGGAAGACTGCTTGAGGCCAGGAGCTTGAGACCAGTCTGGGCAACATAGCAAGACCCCATCTCTACAAAAAATACAAAAATTAGCTGGGTATGGTGGCTCATGCCTGTAGTCCCAGCTGCTTGGGAGGCTGAGGTGGGAGGATCATTTGTGTCCAGGAGGTTGAGGCTTCAGTGAGCCGAGATTACACCACTGTACTCCAGCCTGGGCAACAAAGCAATACCACTTCTCAAAAAAAAATAAAAAAGACAATATATAAAGAACTCTTACAACTTTGCTGGGTGTAGTGGCTTACACCTGTACTCGAACACTTTGGGAGACCGAGGCAGGCAGATCACCTGAGGTCAGGAGTTCAAGATCAGCATGGTGGCCAACATGGTGAAACTGCGTCTCAACAAAAATACAAGAAAAATTAGCTGGGCATGGCCTTTGGGAAGCCAAGGTGGAAGGATCACTTGAACCCAGGAGTTTCGGACCAGCCTGGGCAACATAGTAAGACTCCCATCTCTACAAAAAATAGAAAAATTAACCAGGCATGGTGGTGTATGCCTATGGTTCCAGCTGTTTGGGAGAATGAGGCAGGAGGATCGCTTGAGCCCAAGCTCAAGGCTATAGTGAGCTTTAATCACACCACTGGATTCTGGCCTGGGAGACAGAGCAAAATCTTGTCTCAAAGAAAAAAAAAAAGACCAGGCACTGCAGCTCATCTATAATTCCAGCACTTTGGGAGGTCGAGGTGGGCAGATCTCAAGGTCAAGAGATCGAGACCAGCCTGGCCAAAATGGTGAAACTCCGTGTCTACTAAAAATACAAAAATTAGCTGGGCGTGGTGGAGCGCACCTGTAATCCCAGCTACTCAGGAGGCTGAGGCAGGAGAATTGCTTGAACCCAGGATGTGGAGGTTGTAGTGAACTGAGATCGCACCACTGCACTCCAGCCTGGTGACAGAGTGAGACACTATCTCGAAGAAAAAAAAATTTTTTTAATTAGTCAGATGTGGTGGCACATACCTGTAGTCCCAGCTACTTAGGAGACTGCAGTGGGAGGACTGCTTGAGTAGGGAGGTCAAGGCTACAGTGAGCCATGATCATACCACTATACTCCAGCCTGGGCAACAGATTGAGATCCTGTCTCAAAACAAAAAATCTTAATGACTAGTAGCCTACTGTTGACCAGAAGCGTTAGCGATGACATACATAGTCAATTAGCATATTTTTTATGTTATATATATTATACAATAGTTTTACAACAAGCTGGAGGAAAGAAAATGTTACTAAGAAAATCATCAGGGAAAGAAAATACATTTAATTTACTATTCATTAGGTAGCAGTGGATCATCTTAAAGGTCTTCATTCTCATCGTCTTCATACTGAGTATGCTGAGGCGGAGCAGGAGGAAGAGGAGGGGTTGGTCTTGCTGTCTTAGGGGTGGCAGAGGCAGAAAGGTAGAAGAAGTAGAAGGAGAATCAGGAGAGGCAGGCACACTCAGATGTAACTTTCTTTTTTACTAGCCCTTCGGCTTTTAAAGTTTAACTTTTATTTAAATAAATTTAATTAATGAGTTTTTTTGAGACATAGTCTCACTCGGTCACCCAGGTTGGAGTGCAGTGGTGCGATCTCAGCTCACTGTAACACCCACTTCCCAGGCTTAAATGATTCTCCCGCCTCAGCCTCCTGAGTAGCTGGGATTACAGGCATGCACCACCACATCTGGCTAATTTTTGTATTTTTAGTAGAGACATGGTTTTGCCACGTAGGCCAGGCTGGTCTTGAACTTCTGACCTCAAGTGATTCCCTGCCTGGCCTCCAAAAGTGTTGGCATTGCAGGTGTAAGCCATCACACACCTGGCCTTATTTTTATTTTTCAGACAGAGTCTTGCTCTGTTGCCCAGGTTGGAGTGCAGTGGCACAGTCCCAGCTCACTGCAGCCTCTGCCTCCTGGGTTCAAGCGATTCTCCTGCCTCGGCCTCCTGAATAGCTGGGGACTGTAGGAGCGTGCCACCATGCCCAACTAATTTTTGTATTTTTTTTTTTTTTAGTAGAGACGGTGTCTTTCCCATGTTGGCCAGGCTGCTCTCGAACTCCTGGCCTCAAAGGATCTGCCTACTTTGTCCTCCCAAAGTGCTGGGATTACACACATGAGCCACCACACGCAGCCATAACTTGTACTGAAAACAAAATCCACGTATAAATGGACTCATGCTTTTCAAACCTGTGTTGATGAAGGGTCAACTGTACATTGCCGATGGGAATGTCAAATGGTGCAGTCATCCCCAAAAACAGTCTGGCAGTTCCTAAAAATGTGAAACATGTAGTTACCATATGTCTCAGCAGTTCCACTCCTAAATATATACCCAAGAGAAGTACAAACATATGTTCACATAAAACTTCTACATGAATCTTGGTCGCAAGAGTAGCTATAACAGTCAAAAACATTTGGCAAACAACCCCAAATGTCCATCAATTGATGAATGCATAAATAAAATATGGATATAGCCATACAAAACCTGGTTATATTCCATTCCAAAAAGAATGGAATTGGCAGGGCAAGGTGGCTCACATCTGTAATCCCAGCACTTTGGGAGGCCAAGGCAGGTGGATCACCCAAGGTCGAGAGTTCGAGACCAGCCTGACCAACATGGAGAAACCCCATCTCTGCTAAAAGTACAAAATTAGCTGAGCATGGTGGCCCATGCCTGTAATCCCAGCTACTCAGGAGGCTGAGGCAGGAGAGTCACTTGAACCCAGGAGGCAGAGGTTGCAGTGAGCTGACATGGCGCCATTGCACTCCAGCCTGGGCAACAAGAGAAAAACTCCACCTCAAATAATAATAATAATAATAAATAAAATAAATAAAAGAAATGAAGTTCTGATAAAATGCTACGACATGGCTGAGCAAGGTGGCTCACACCTGTAATCCCAACACTTTTGGAAGTCAAGGCAGGCAGATTGCCTGAGTTCAGGAGTTTGAGACCAGCTAGGGCAATGTGGCAAAACCCCGTCTCTAAAAATCACAAATTAGTTGGGTGCAGTGGCACATGTCTGTATCCCAGCTACTCAGTAGGCTGAGGCAGGAGAATCATAAGCCCGGGAGGCACAGGTTGCAGTGAGCCGAGATTATGCCATTGCACTCCAGCCTGGGAGACAAAGCAAGACCCGGTTTCAAAAAAAAAAAAAAAATTATGGATGAACCGTGAAAACATGTCAATGGGTTGGGTGTGGTGGCTCACGCCTGTAATCCCAAAACTTTGGGAGGTGGAGGCGGGCAGATCACTTGAGGTCAGGAGTTTGAGACCAGCCTGGCCAACATGGCGAAACCCTGTTTCTACTAAAAAATACAAAAAGTAGCCGGGTGTGGTGGCTCACGCCCGTAGTCCCAACTACTCTGGAGGCTGAGGCAGTAGAACTGCTTGAACCCAGGAGGCAGAGGTTGCAGTGAGCTGAGATGGCAGCACTGTACTCCAGCCTGGGTGACAGAGTGAGATTCCATCTCAAAAAAAAAAAAGAAAAAAAAAAAGCAAGCATGTCAAGTGTAGGAAGCCAGTCACAAAGGCACAAAGGAGCACTTGTGATTCCATGTATAGGGACGGGCAGATCTGTAGAGACAGTAGATGAGTGGTTTCCTGGGGTTGGGAGTCAAGGGAAATTGAGTGAGTGCTAATGGGTACAGGGCTTCTTATTGGAGTGACAAAAATTTGCAAAACTAGATTGTAATGGCTAGGAGTGGTGGCTGATACCCTTGACCCCAGCACTTTGGGAGACAAGAGGTGGGAGGTTCACTTGAGGCCAGGAGTTCAAGACCAGCCTGGGCAACACAGCAAGACCCTGGGTCTCTATAAATTAATTTCAAATAATTTGCATGGTGGCACGTGCCTATAGTCCCACCTTCTTGAGGCACTGGGACTGGAGAATCACTTGAGCCCAGGAGTTGAAGGCTGCAGTGAGCTATGATCATACCCTTGGGGCAGGGAGGTTGGGGATGCTGTTCCAGGAACAAAGCCTTTGAGTCATCTGAGCCTGTCTTGTGGGTAGGGTAAACATTGGGGCTGGTGAGTTAGCCACATAATCTGGAATGTGCCCTCTACCCTATGGGGGCCCTCGCCTCTGTCAGGTAAGGTACCAGGCTAATGCTGGATTTTCTCTTTGGGGCAGGTGATTGACAAGCGGAGGCATGAGCTGGGTCCAGGCCACCCTACTGGCCCAAGGCCTCTGTAAGGCCTGGGGAGGCATCTGCAGGGCCACCCTCACAGGAACCTCCATCTCTCAGGTAAGCACCAGCCAGGCAGTCTTTGGGGCAGAGGGAGGTAAGCTTGGGATTTGCTCTCAGCCCCTTCAGAATCCACTCTGTGAAGCCAGCTGTGGTGAGTCTGGGCTGGTTTATCTGTGCTGAAGTCCCATTGAAAGTCCCTAATTTATTTTTTATTATTTATTTATTTGAGACTGAGTTTCGCTCTTGTTACCCAGGCTGGAGTGCAATGGCGCGATCTCGGCTCACCGCAACCTCCGCCTCCTGGGTTCAGGCAATTCTCCTGCCTCAGCCTCCTGAGTAGCTGGGATTACAGGCACGCACCACCATGCCCAGCTAATTTTTTGTATTTTTAGTAGAGACGGGGTTTCACCATGTTGACCAGGATGGTCTCGATCTTTTGACCTCGTGATCCACCCGCCTCAGCCTCCCAAAGTGCTGGGATTACAGGCTTGAGCCACCGCGCCCGGCCAATTTTTTGTATTTTTAGTAGAGACGGGGTTTCACCATGTTGACCAGGATGGTCTCAATCTCTTGACCTCATGATCCACCCGCCTCGGTGTCCCAAAGTGCTGGGATTACAGGCGTGAGCCACCGCACCCGGCCGAAAGTCTCTAATTTATGTATGTATGTATGTTTGTTTGTTTTTTGAGACAGTGTGTCGCTCTCTTGCCAAGGCTGGGGTGCAGTGGTATGATCACAGTTCACAATATTCTTGACCTCCCAGGTTCAAGCAATCTTCCCTTCTCATCCTCCCAAGTAGCTAGGACTATAGGCACATGCTACCACGCCCAGCTAAGCTTTATATATTTTTTTAAGAGAAGGGGTTTTGCCATGTTGGCCAGGCTGGTCTCGAACTCCTGGGCTCAAGTGATCTCCCACATCAGCCTCCCAAAGTCCTGGAATTACAGGCATGAGCCACAGCACCTAGCCAAAAGCCCCTACTTTATTTATTTTTGAGACAGGGTCTTGCTCTGTCACCTAGGCTGGAGTACAGTGGATTCCACCTAGGTGGAATCAGGGCTCACTGTAGCCTCAAACTCCTCGGCTCAAGTGAGCCTCTCACCTCAGCACCCTGAGTAGCTAGGACCATAGATTTGAGCCACTAGACCTGGCTAATGTTTTTTTTTTTTTTTTGAGATGGAGTTTTGCTCTTATCACCCAGGCTGTGTGGTCTTGGCTCACTGCAACCTCTACCTCCCGGGTTAAAGCGATTCTTCTGCCTCAGCCTGCCGAGTAGCTGGGATTACAGATGGCTGCCACCACGGCCAGCTAATTTTTGTAATTTTAGTAGAGACAGAGGTTCACCATGTTGGCCAGGCTGGTCTGGAACTCATGACCTCAGGTGATCCGCCCGCCTTGGCCTCCCAAACTGCTGGGATTTTAGGCATACGTGTAAAACAAATAGCAACTGTGCCTGGCTGTTAATTTTTTTTAGGCATGTGGACTTGCTATGTTGCCCAGGCTGGTCTTGAACCTCTGGGCTCTGGATCCTTCCACTTTGGCCTCCCAAAGTGCTAGGGTTGTAGGCTCGAGCCACTGTGTCTGGACCCTAATTTATTTTAAGAGATGCTAGTGCCCACATAGGTGAGGGGGTTGACTTTGAAAATAAGGACATATGAGCTCAGTGGATTTGTGTGGTGACTGTGGGTAGCTCCTGAATCTACTTGTAAAGATGGAGCAGAAAACTGAATTTCCTTCCCATACCCATAGTGACCAGATGGCAAAAGCAGATTGACAGCCATAGATAGCAATAACGATGATGGTGGGAATATTAATAGTTCTTGTATTGAGCACTTACTCTGGGCCCGTCCCATGCTATGCATTTCATTTACATTATCTCCTTTGCAGAGTTTCCCCCTCATTAGGCATTTTAGAGCTTCCTTTCTGATTTTTACCTAAAGTGGTATAATACTACACCACCTATAGTATTAGTTGACTGAAATTTCAGTTTTTTTTTCTTTTTTCAGATGGAGTCTTCCTCTGTCACCTAGGCTGGAGTGCAGTGGTGCGATCTCAGCTCATTGCAACCTCCGCCTTCCAGGTTCAGATGATTCTCCTGTCTCAGTCTCCAGGGTAGCTGGGATTACAGGCACACACCACCACACCCAGCTAATTTTTGTGTTTTTTTTTAGTAGAGTTGGGGTTTCACCATGTTGGCCACGCTGGTGTCAAACTCCTGACCTCAAGTGATCCACCCACCTTGGCCTCCCAAAGTGCTGGGATTACAGGTGTGAGCTAACACACCCAGCCTGAAATTTTACTTTAAATGAATGCCCTTTTTTTTTTTTTAAACATTGCCTTATTGAAGAAGGACATGGGATGGCTGTTGGGGACAGCAAAGCAGGGGGACTGAGGACACTGACTCCATTCTCAGTTCTGATTTTGCAGCTGTGGGACACCGTGCATCCCACTTCATCTTCCAGGTCTTGGTTTTCTTATCTGTAAAATGAGCGCAGTAAGAGTACCCCCGACATAGGGCGACACATTTATTTATTTAAAATTTTTATTTTTTTTGAGATGGAGTTTCACTCATGTTGCACAGGCTGGAGTGCAGTGGCATGATCTCAGCTCACCGCAACCTCTGCCTCCCAGGTTCAAGTGGTTCTCCTGCCTCAGTCTCTGGAGTAGCTGGGATTACAGGCATGTGCCACCATGCCTGGGTAATTTTTTGTATTTTTAGTAGAGACGGGGTTTCACCGTATTGACCAGGCTGGTCTTAAACTCCCGACCTCAGGTGATCTACCCACCTTGGTCTCCTAAAGTGCTGGGATTACAGGTGTGAGCCACCGTGCCCGGCCAAGACCTCACATATATAAAGTGCTCAACAGTGTCTACAGTGGAAGAATATTCAGTAAATATTGTCTCTTATTTTTGAGACAGGGTCTTGCTCCATCACCCAGGCTGGAGTGCAGTGGCATGATCTCAGCTCATTTAACCTCGCCTTCCTGGTCTCAATTGATCTGCCTCCTTCACCCTCCTGAATAGCTGGGACTACACCCACACACCACCATGCCTGGCTAATTTTTGTATCTTTTGTAGAGATGAGGTTTCAGCAGTTTGCCCAGGCTGGTCTCCAACTCCTGACCTCAGGTGATCCACCTGCCTCAGCCTCCCAAAGTGCTGGGATTAGAGGCGTGAGCCACCGCGCTTGACCTAATATTGGCTCTTAGCCACACACACACACACACACACACACACACACACACACACACTCTCTCTCTCTCTCTCTCTCTCTCTCTCTCTCTCTCTCTCTCTCTCTCTTTTTTTTGAAACAGAGTTTCGCTCTTGTTACCCAGGCTGGAGTGCAATGGCATGATCTCGGCTCACCGCAACCTCTGCCTCCTGGGTTCAGGCAATTCTCCTGCCTCAGCCTCCCGAGTAGCTGGGATTACAGGCACGCGCCACCATGCCCAGCTAATTTTTTGCAGTTTTAGTAGAGATGGGGTTTCACCATGTTGACCAGGATGGTCTCGATCTCTTGACCTCGTGATCCACCCGCCTCGGCCTCCCAAAGTGCTGGGATTACAGGCGTGAGCCACCGCGCCCAGCCACACACACATATATTTATGTTTTAGAGACAAGATTTCACTCTGTCGTCAGGCTGGAGTACAGCGACACAATCATAGTTCACTGCAGCCTGGAACTCCTGGGCTCAAGCAATCCTCTGGCTTCAGCTTCCTGAGTAGCTGGGACTACAGCCATATGTCACCACGCTCAGCTTATTTTTTAATTTTTTCATAGAGAGATGGAGTCTCAGCCGGGCGCAGTGGCTCACACCTGTAATCCCAGCAGTTTGGGAGGCTGAGGTGGGCAGATCACAAGGTCAGGAGTTTGAGGCTAGCCTGGCCAATATGGTGAAACCTGTCTCTACCAAAAATAGAAAACTTAGCTGGGCATGGTGGCACACACGCCTGTAGTCCCAGCTACTTGGAGGCTGAGGCAGGAGAATCACTTGAACCCCAGGAGATGGAGGTTGCAGTGAGCCAAGATTGTGCCACTGCACTCCAGCCTGGCAACAGAGTGAGGGTCTGTCTCATAAATAAATAAATAAATAAAAGAGAGAGAGAGTGTCTCACCATGTTGCCTAAACTGCAGTGCAGTGGTGCAATCAAAGCACACTACAGCCTTGAACTCCCGGCTTCAGGCAGTCCAACCACCTCTGCCTCCAGAGTAGCTGGGACTGTCAGGCACTCACCACCATGCCTAGATAATTAGCTATATATTTTTAAAGATGCCTTATATATAACCGTTCTAATTTAAACATTCAATTTAAATTAAAATAAGAAATTTGTTACTGTATCATCTAGAACCAGGGTTTGGCAAACTTTTTCATAAAGGATCACATAGTAAATATTTTCAACTTTGCAGGCCACATGGGCTCCCTCACAACTATTCACAGTTACTTTGTGCTACAATGTAACATAAAAGTAGCCCCAGGTGGCCTCAGTGGCCCAAGCCTATAATCCCAACACTTTGGGAGGCCAAGGCAGAAGGATCCCTTGAGCCCAGAACTTTGAGACCAGCCTGGGCAACGTTGTGTAACCCCGTCTCTACAAAAAATACAAAAATTAGCCTGGCTTTTCGTGATGAATGCCTGTAGTCCCAGCTACTCTGGAGGCTGAGGTGGGAGAATCCCTGGAGCCCAGGAGTTCTGGGCTGTTGTCCACTATGCTGATGGAGCATCCTGCACTAAGTTTTGCGTGAATATTGTGACCTCCTGGGACTTGGGGGACCACCAGGTTGCCTAAGGAAGGGTGTACTGACCCAGGCTGGAAACAGAGCAGGTCAAAACTCCTGTGCTGATCAGTTGGCTCATGCCTGTGACTAACCACTACACCTCAGCCTGGGCAACACAGCTAGACTCCATCTCTTAAAGAAAAAAGGGTCCCAGCACTTTGGGAGGCTGCCGTGAGTGGATCACCTGAGGTCAGGAATTTGAGACCATCCTGGCCAACTTGGTGAAACCCCATCCCTACTAAAAATACAAAAATAGGCTGGGTATGGTGGCTCATACCTGTAATCCCAACATTGGCAGGTCGAGGTAGGTGGATCATGAGGTCAGGAGTTTGAGACCAGCCTGGCCAATATGGTGAAACCCCATCTCTACTAAAAATATAAAAATTAGCTGGGAGTGGTGGTGCACACCTGTAATCCCAGCTACTTGGGAGGCTGAGGCAGGAGAGATCACTTGAACCTGGGAGGTGGAGGTTGTAGTGAGCTAAGATCACACCATTGTACTCCAGCCTGGGCAATAGAGTGAGACTCCGTTTCAAAAAAAAAAAAAAAAATTAGCTGGGCGTGGTGGCAGGTACCTGTAATCCTAGCTATTTGGGAGGCTGAGGTAGGAGAATTGCTTGAACCCAGGAGGCAGAGTTTGTATTCCAGCCTGAGCAACAAGAGTGAAACTCTGTCTCAAAAAAGGAAAAAGTAAAAAGGGGCTGAGTGCGGTGACTCACACCTATAATCCCAAGACTTTGGGAGGCTGAGGCAGGTGAATCACTTTAGGCCTGGAGTTTGAGACCAGCCTAGCCAACATGGTGAAATCCCATCTTTACTAAAAATGTAAAAATTAGTAGGGCGTGGTGGAGCACGTCTGTAGTCCCTATTTGGGAGGCTGAGGCATGAGAATTGCTTGAACATAGGAAGCAGAGGTTGCACTGAGCTGAGGTCATGCCACTGTACTCTAGCATGAGTGACAGAGTAAGGCTGTCTCAAAAAAAAAAAAAAAAAAAAAAAATTAAAAGCAAAAA